TCAACTAGTTTTAATTAAGAAAGGACTTGTATCGCCGAAGTTCCTTGTAAATAATTTATACCGGAAATTAACAAACGAGCAGATACGTAACAATATCAATGAAAACACATTTATTACATACTAAAGATCTATATTAATTTACTATTTTAACAATAAGATTACTGCTCAGACTCCTCACGTTAATAGATTCGGTATGAAATGAAACTTCAAATCTAAAAAATAATTTTAAAATTACCTTGAGATGATATAGGAATTCATAAATGCGTTTATACTTATATTTTCAAGTGCACACCCTCAAGGAAGTATCGTAGTAAACACGCCGTTATTTATAGCTCTTGAAACGTGTCGGTTGTTATAAAACTAGTGCTTAGCTTACACGATTTATGTAAACTTTCTAGATGAATGCGCGCAAATTTAAATTATCATGCACGTGAACTTATTTCGGTCAATTCCATACGAGCGCGTAATACGTAACTTAATCACTCTTATGATGGAGAGACAGCGCATGCTGTTTGTACCTTGGACTGCACGTGTAGTATATAGACATATCGTTATTTTACACATTCTCCGTCTTATCTTCCGTTTTTATAATATCACTGTATAACATATAACCACTCAGCTATTTGTATACATTCTCAGAACTTATGTGTGAAAGTAAAGACAATATCAGAGCTCATCATGCCGACTGAGATATGACATACACAGTACTGTAATATCGTTTAAGAGTAGCCGTATAGACACATACATGTACATAATGACTGCTTTTTTTGTGCACTCAGTCCAAACATTCATCTAAAATAACTAAAATTAATACTTATTTGTGTCCAGAATCCCATAGACAAGTACATGTACATAATGATTACTTTTTTTTTGCGCACTTAGTCCAAACGTTCATCTAAAATAACTGACACACGTAATATTAATACTTATTTGTGTCCAGAATCCCATAGACACGTACATGTACATAATGATTACTTTTTTTTTGCGCACTCAGTCCAAACATTAATCTAAAACAACTGACACACGTAATATTAATACAAATGTTCGACGTTTTGAAAATGTTTCTATATGCATAATAAGGAACAATAGTATAATGGAGAACGAAATCACAGTAAAGTAGCGTACGTATAGGTGGAGCAGTTGCCCCAAGGATCCACCTGATCCAACTCATGAAAGATCTTCTCGTGAAACACCTAAGATTAATACTTATTTGTGTCCAGGATCCCATCTGGTGATTCTTCTCAATCCCAACACGTATTGGCTTACTTGTAAAATTTACACAATTAATATCTTTGGGACCCAGAGGACCACTAAACCACGTGTGAAAGGACCCCTATGAAACAACAACAAGGGTTGCTATACTCTCCCCATGAACCAGGGACCACTAAACCACGTGTGAAAGGACCCCTATAAAACAACAACAAGGGCTGCTATACTCTCCCCATGAACCAGGGACCACTAAACCACGTGTGAATAGGCCCCTATGAAACAACAAGGGTTGCTATACTCTCCCCATGAACCAGGGACCACTAAACCACGTGTGAAAGGACCCCTATGAAACAACAACAAGGGTTGCTATACTCTCCCCGTGAACAAGGTGAAGTATAATTGTGAATGTGCTCAACTTTAAACCCGAAGATCCATGGTTCGTGTTCCGTTGAGGGCAAAACTGCACTAAGGACCATGGGTACGTTATAACAGTATCGGTTAAATTCCAGAATTTGATTAAAATAGACCAAGAGGCGGCCCCAGGGCTGCAAAAATAAGTACCTTCTCCCCCCCCCCTCACCAATTCAATATTAGGAACATTACCGCAGCTAATAATTTTGTAGCTTTTAGCGAGTATCCAAAACCCCCATGATTTTATTTACTGCGTTCTTTTACTTACCTAACATTAGTAGAATTAGGTTGGGGAAGTGTATTCTTGTCCCAGGGCTTTTATAGGCCTACCTACGGTACTGCATAATATATAGTCTGTTTTATATTTATGTTTTATTTCTGTGTGCAAGTATTTTGATTACATTTTAAGATTTGGTGTGTGTGTATATATATACATGGGCATCACGTGGTAAAATAACAGCAGGTAAAATGAACCGTCGACAGTTTTTGATAACCTTCATTGATCTCAATAGTGGATAAAGAAACATAATGTTTTTGTTTGTTTTCAGTGTGGATATGCTCAGAAACTCATCTAAAAACTAGTGAGAACAATATTTATAGTTAATCCTATATCAATAGCCATGTTTATTTGCTTGGGGGTGTAAATTAGATAATAATATAGATAGTACTAGTTTCAAGAAGTTTATGAGATTTTATTCATTCTAATGGCTGTCTCGAGCACGTGAGTGAAAAAACTATGCACACATGCTTCTATTATTACAGTACGTGTGATTCCAATTCAAAGTTTGATAATTTTGTTTATTGTAGTTTTCCTTTTACATATCAGCTACCACAACCATATCATTAAAGTTTACAAAAACCGCCTCTAAATTTAATCTTCCCCTTCAAATAATACGTTACTCCTGCCCCCTCTCCACCTCCCTTAGTTGCACAGCGGCATGTCTGCGGACTTACAACGCTAGAAACCGGGTTTCGATACCCGTAGTGGGCAGAGCAGAGATAGCCCATTGTGTAGCTTTGTGCTTAACTTTAAAACAAACATTACTCTTCTTATTAGCAGGTGTTAATAAACAAAAATATATGTTTTTTAATATCTTAATCTCAACTGTTCAAACAACAATTTAGATGCATACTAAGTATTTCTAAATGTTTATTTCCCATTACTTTATTTATTTTCGTAATAATTATTGTTCTGTATATTTTATTACAGTGTAAATGGTGATTTTTACGTATACATATACATATTTTTTTCTTCCCTAGTGCACTACCTAAATGCAGAAAGACAAAATGGTAAGTTGATTACATTGTTTACCTTGCGATTAGCAGCTTAATGTTATATAAAATCGTGTCCAAAAATAAATATAAAAATTAAACAGAGTCAAAGATATGATGCCGCTAGTCTGTGTTAACATGATCCATGATATTTGTTTTATTGTGAGATATGATGCCGCTAGTCTGTGTTAACATGATTCACGACATTTGTTCTATTGTGAGATACGATGCCGCTAATCTGTGATAACATGATCCACGACATTTGTTCTATTGTAAGATACGATGCCGCTAGTCTGTGTTAACATGATCCATGATATTTGTTTTATTGTGAGATACGATGCCGCTAGTCTGTGTTAACATGATCCAAGATATTTGTTCTATTGTGAGATATGATGCCGCTAGTCTGTATAAATATGATCCAAGATATTTGTTTTATTGTGAGATATTATTTTCGAGAAACACTATTTTGTGGTCTCGGTGGAGACAACTGGTGGAGATCCATGACATTTTAAAATACAAAAGTCTTTAATTTCAAATTTGTATGAAAATATTTTACTTTCCTACCGAAAAGTAACTTTTAAAGTGGAAAAGTCTAAGAATTTACTTAATATTAAAATATTGTTCCCATATCATATTTTCACAGTCCTAACACACATGAAATATTGAAAAAAATATTTATATACATTTGTCATTTGGAGGTGGGAGGGCATGCAATTCTTTCATTTGTTGTACCACAAACACATCTATTAAACAAAAATTAATGATGACATATTTAGTTTGTTTTCCAGTTCCTTGTTTTCTGCATTCTCTGTAGTATTGATATGTTTAAAAGTGTATTAGTAACTATGGGTGGGTGTTAACGTCGGTAAACTAATCGTTTTCCAGAACGTGTCTTCAAAGGGAAGTTTTCTGTAATAGACGGAGATTTCTTCACAGAAAAACTTACAGATGCATTGTCTGTCGACTTTGAGAGAAAAGCAGAAATTTACAAAAATAAGGTATTTCCTTTTATCTTTCGTTGTCTTTTAATTATTCAGAATGAATATGCACTGAAAAAAATTCTTATGACTTCGTAAACCTCTCATACTGTCTTTGTTTTAAAGAAAGTGATAAAAAATAGTACTTCTTAGTTCCTAACCGTACTAAAATATTAATCAAACTAATAATTTAGCTTTAAAATTTTATCAAAACATCATGTTATATATCACTTATTAAGGTTGTACGTTAGAAATAACACGTGAATACTATATATCTGTGTGGAATTTCTAATGCTTTTTGAATATTGTTTAGTAATGTATTTTAATCAGTGGCGGATATTTCGGGAGGACAGTTACCCCCACCCCCACCCCACACACTTTAATTTGTCGGAAATAGATGAGGCTTTTGGTAATTATATGGATCCATGCCGTTGAATGCTAGTACTCCATTTTACATGTTTTATCATGAATCCAAATCCCTTAATATAAGTTGGCCCATCGCTCAGACGACGTACATGTACGTAGTGCATGCATATATTAGCAGATAAGATATTCAGGACTCCGTGATTGGGTGTCTTTGATTGAGGTTTTGTTTAAGTTGTAGTTTTAACTAGGCAAATCCCATATTTTTTGTTGTAGTTTTAACTAGGAAAATCCCATATTTTTGTTTTAGTTTTAACTAGGAAAATCCCATATCTTTAGTTTTAGTTTTAACTAGGAAAATCCCATATTTTTAGTTTTAGTTTTAACTAGGCAAATCCCATATTTTTAGTTTTAGTTTTAACTAGGAAAATCCCATATTTTTTGTGTAGTTTTAACTAGGAAAATCTCATATTGTGCAAAATCATCGCCGCAATGTATTGCTGTATATAAAATTACCCGATATCTTTCAAAAGATTTATCAAGTAAAAGTTTCGAAATATTTACATTAAAAACCTTTAACCAGCATCGAATAGATATGTTATAAAATTAAATCATGTTCCTCCTTCTTGGGTCCACAAACGTTGACATTCACAAATATACAGTATTTCACAGTTTCAATCTGTCAGATTTTTATGTGATAGAAAATAAACTTATGAAGTATTATTTAGTTACCATGGAGAAAATCCCCCTTTTTTTTAAACTGAGACGCATTTAAAAATACAATAAAATGAGTTCTGTGGTCAAAAGGTTACAAATAAACAGTTTTTGTTGTAGAAGCGATGGCATTGAACGTCTGATTGCGCTTATTTTGTTTTATTTAAACGTGTATAAGCGCTTTCAGAAGAACTCCGATAAAGTTAAACCAGTTTTAATCATGTCGATCATATATTTGCTATTACACCTAACCATTAAGTCTTTACAATATTGTTTTTTGGAAACTAACTGCTTTCTCGAGGAAGAACATTTTGTTTCATGATTATTATAATAAACATTATTTATTTTATACTAATAGTAGTGACTGAATATTTAGATAAAATATACGACTCTTATGTTTTATTATAAGTATGAAACTGTAATAAAAAGTCGATATAGATTGATAGTCCTTAGGTCTATGAAATTCCAACCATTGTAGACTGTTAAACCCATTATTAACACGCTTCAAAAGACCACCATTAAATCAGTCATCAAGGGTGTCGGTCTTGATCAAGGAACCGGAAACATGCTCTTGAAAGTATAACTTGTCTGTTAGTATTTTAAAAAGATTTCATGAAGTGGAACTCTTATATACATAATAATTTGTTTTCTTATTGTATTGTTTTACTTTATTTTCTTTGCAGCTGGAGTTGCTCTTCAACAACAGTCTATACGGGAACAATGTTGTACGTGTTGAAGTATTAGCTCTAGAAAGGTGAGCGTGCAGTGTAGGTAGATAGGAAGACAGTTAAATGAATGAATTTTATTCAAAAATTTATTGTCAGGGCACCTTTTACTAAAACTTTACCTTTTTAATATTAATATGTAGTAAAAATGTCCCTATGCTTTGATTTCACTAATGACCCCACTGGCTCAGCAACAAGGGCTTGAATAACCATAATAGACACAGCTCAGATAGCCCATAGTGTAGCTTAGCGCTTAGACACAATCAAATCACTTAATCTTCCAAATGATATATATTTGGATGGTATCATAGTTTCCTGATATATCATGTTTTGTGGACAACTATGGTGACATGCAATTCGTTTCTATAAAAACTATCGTAATAGAAATAAGTAATGATGATTTTAGACCACTTTTTGGTAGACCCTATAATATTATCTCAGTACCCTATAATATACAGTATCGGTATTAAGCCTGAGTCCAACTAGGAAGACAATGACTAGTTTCACTGTAAACCGTGCAGGAGCCATAGTAAATAAAACATCAACGGTTTTCCTCTTGCTGTGTCTCTCAGTTTTATATTCACTTATTGTTTTTTAATTACAAGAAAACAATTGCTATCGTCATAAGTATTACCACGACACCATCAACTGAACACCGTTAAGTATGGATTGAGTAGTTTGTTGTTACGCACAAATCTACACAATAGTTTATTTGTGCTCTGACCACCACGGGTACCAGAACCAGATTTTTAGCGTTATAAGCCCTCAGACTTGTCGCTGAACCACTGGGTGACCAAACATCATCCAAAGACTTTCTAAGTTTTAAATTGGCTAAAACTGAGAAAAATATTAACAATAAATTAGAATTGAAAAATAAAAAAAGAGCACATATTACTGTTATACCTAAGGACAAAAAATTAACGATGAGTTACTGAAAAATGCAACTGACCAGAATAAAGTGACATCGAAGAATTTTAACATCAAATCAATCCAAAATTCTCTACACAAACATATACAGAACTACTGGATATGCATGGGGATAAGATTAGCATTAGAATTGTTCGAAGGACATTCCGTTAAAGTAGTCTTTATATAAAAGTTGGAGCCAAAAACCTAATACCTCACGTGCGAACAAGGTCACGTGCTTAAAAGCTGTAAAGGATCACAAAACGTGAAAGACCAAATGAGACAATAAGCTAATGAGTGACCAAAAGACTGACTGAGGTTTTTGTAGAAAATTTGGGATAGTTTTAATGCGAAAACATGGCCAGGAGATATTTAAGCACTACTGTGTAAACAAAGCAAAGAGAATGATGCAGGAATGAAAGATAATTGTTATAATTAATGGAAATGTGTATCACAACATCATGTTTATCAGCAGTACCAAGTGGATAACGTTTAACTGGCCGGGACTGTGAATGTGAGCAGGATAAAAGTCCAAAACATACTACCTTCAGTTCCTTGCAGAATATGAGGTATTTGGAGAAAAATTAACAAGCTGGCGATATAAATATGACTACGAAATGTTCAGTTCAAAGTTCAGATACTAATGCGATTAAACATTTGTGACACTAGATGAAAAGAAACCTTGCAAAAGAAAAGCCGACTAATTTGTAGTAACTTTGGAAGATTGTATTGTGTTGTTTGAGTTTTGCACAAAGCTACACGAGGCCTATCTGTGCTAGTCGTCCCTTACTTAGCAGAGAAAGACTAGAGGGAAGGCAGTTAGCCATCACCACCCACCGCTAACTCTTGGGCTACACTTTTACCAACGAATAGTGGGATTGATCGTCACATTATAACGCTCCCACGGCTGAAAGGGCGAGCATGTTTGGTGGGACAGGGATTCGAACACGCGAGTGCTAGTCGAGCGCCCTAATCACGAAGCCATATCAGGACAAAAATGGAGGGATAAGCCGGTTGATAGTCAGGTAACATTAATACCCAATAGATGTTTGTTTGTTTGTTTAATTATACACAAAGCTACACAAGGGCTATCTGTGCTCTGCCCACCACGGGTATCGAAACCCGGTTTCTAGCGTTGTAAGTCCGGAGACATACCGCTGTGCTACTGGGGCGCCCTAATAGATGTTGTCATATAGTTAAGTCTAGAGGAATACCTAGTCAGTACTGATTATTCAGTTTGTTCTGTTTCAAAATGAGCTTTTTATTCCTAATATTCCAGTAATGATGATAGATATAATATGTAAACCAAACTTACACTTCTATTTTGCAGTATTTATAAAGTGAATATGTTATTACAATATATTTATATGGGTGCGTGTTCATATACATAAATTGGAAATATAACTTTGTATGCGTATAGAATTTCGCAAATATGAAGGCATGACGATGTATTTCGAATATAACTTTGTATATAATTTTACACAACGTACAGTTATAATTTTATTCATAGGTCGCAGAAAACCGAATTACGGAACTTTCGCGCAAAACTATACAAAGGGCTACTTGTACAGAGCCGTCCTTAATTTTGAACTGATAAGCTAGAGGGAGCTAGTCAACAAACCCACATTCAACTCTTGTGCTACTCTTGACTGACAAAATACTGAGACCTGACTATCACTATTGTAGCAGCCCCCACAGTGCGGAACGCATTTGTGCCGCAATATGGGCAGCAAATTGGAATCCTCCGATTTGTTATCTGAGCACGCTAATATCTAAGCCCTGTCCCCACATTGTAAGCCTTTTCTAACTGTTATATATATATATATATATTCTATCTAAATTTAAGTTGACAAAAGATTATGATTTTTATGTAGTGGTCGCCAAAGCGATGATTTGGTTGTCCATTTCAACGTCCATCTGTCACCAGAAACCTTCGAAGGGGACGCAGCTGACCTCTACGTTATTCTGATGGAAGAACTAACCAGTTTAAAATATGGAATTTTCAAGGGCTTGAAAATTGACCAAGACTCTGTACAAATACAAGGTTAGTAAGATATAGCCAATTAGCTATATGTTATAGATCGGATAATACAGGATTCGAATAATACGCATTCGAAGTTTTTTCTAATAATTTTTTAATTGTATGCATATATACCAGTTATTCGACATGTGAAGGTTTGGATAACGCCGTTCGGTTCTTGAATTGTTTCGCGGGTTGTCCTTGTAGATATTATCTTTGCAGTAACACCGTGGGAAGAAGTCGAGTTTGAACATTGAAGTGAAGACGATAGAGTGATTCTCTTTTTTTTTGTAGGATTTTGTGGAGATGTAATATTTCAATATCTTTGTTCATGGTTCATTTGTGAACGTCATACTTGAGAAGGGTGCCTGTAGTACACAAAATTAAATACAACAAGTCCATATAGTACACTCTAAAAATATAAGGAATATAATATCAATGACAAAACAATTATTAGCAAAATGTTCGATTGCGTTTTTTTTTGGGTTTTTTTGCACATTAGGTATGATATAATGAACTGTGAGAGTTTTTCATTTAATTTTTACATGAAGACATCTGAAGAGTCTGCTGGATCACCCATGTTTTATTATCTTAGAAATCTGGGAAATAAATAAAATGAGGAAGCTCTTTTATTAAGATTGATGATTATTAAAATTTGAATTATTTCTTATATATTCTTAACGATGGTATTATATTTTGTTTTCGTCTTAAGAAAGAACACCTTCAGGAACGCAATTATCTGGCCCTTGGACCCCGCGCCAACAATACCCTGGTTATTTAGAAGGATTCTCAACAGCTACTTTTCCTGTGACATCACCTCGTCCCATAGTACCGCCGCGTCGCTGTGGTCCAATACAATTGAATTTCTGTAAAACTTTATCTTACAACGTCACTTCTTACCCAAACATGGTTGGTCACGGTGATATGTATGAACTCGAAGAAGATTTGGTGACGTACCGTCAGATTGTTGACTTTGAGTGTTACACTCTCGCTCTTGAATTTGTTTGCCAGATTCTACAGCCTGAGTGTCATCATGATGAAATAATTTCTCCTTGTAGGAATTTCTGTGAAGGTATGTCAGCCCTTTAACCTTTGCCTCTTGTAAACGGTTTCAGTGTCAATACATTTGGAAATCTCCTCTGAAGAATTAACATCAATTGATAAAAATATTGACATGTTTAATGCTAATGTATCACAGTCAAATTTCTCTATTAATAAAAGCTGGAATATTTCCATTATCAATTTGAAAGCAGAAAATCCGATCCAATGTCCACCAAAACATAAAAAAAAAACCTAACTAGAATCGAAATTCTACAAACATTACAAATTCTGTCCGTACAAACTAACTATTATGTAATAACTTCTGCATGAATAACCGCTAAAATTCTACAACGATAATTTTATTACGAAGTGTAACTACTCACTTTATGGTAGAGCTGTAAATATAACAAATTAGTTTATGTTCCTAGAGCGACTTAAAAAACCACAGCTACAATAGGAATAGACTACAAATACAATTATGTAATAACTTCTGCATGAATAACCGCTAAAATTCTACAACGATAATTTTATTACGAAGTGTAACTACTCACTTTATGGTAGAGCTGTAAATACAACAAATTAGTTTATGTTCCTAGAGCGACTTAAAAAAACACAGCTACAATAGAAAGAGACTACAAATACAATTATGTAATAACTTCTGCATGAATAACCGCTAAAATTCTACAATGATAATTTTATTACGTAGTGTAACTACTCACTTTATGGTAGAGCTGTAAATACAGCAAACTAGTTTATGTTCCTAGAGCGACTTAAAAAACCACAGCTACAATAGAAAGAGACTACAAATACAATTATGCAATAACTTCTGCATGAACAACCGCTAATATTCTACAGTAATAATTTCATTATGTAGTGTAATTACTCACTGTACAGAGGAGTAGTACGAGTAGCAAGCTAGTTTATGTTCTGTGCTAATATTCGATAAGGAAATTCTACTTTATCCTGAGAAGAAGAAATTTACGAATATAAAAATACATGTAATAGTAGAATCCGTTTATAAATGATATAGCTTACCATAGTATCTAATAGCATGTTTGATCTATATTTGGTACATGTAGAAACATCTAGAACGGTCATTTTTATCATTATTGTGCAGATTTTTGGAGCTCTTGTAAAAATCTACTTCCTCAAAAAGTTTACGAGAAAATCAACTGTTCGACTTATCCAAGGTACAGCGGTCCAGGGTCTTGTAAACGTAAACCAGGTAAGCTTATTAAATTCTAATTCAGGTTCATTGTCAACTTTAAGCTGTTGCAAAACTACATAAAGGTAATCTGCCCTAATTTTGACCGATGGACTAGAGAGAAGGCAGCATTTCAACAGTACTCACGCCGAATCGTGAGCTACTCTACTAGAATAATTGGATTTCTCTGTCATTATTTATAACGCATCAATGATGATTTTTTGTGGCAACGGGACGCAAACCATGGACACTCGTATCTACAATCCAGCACGCCCAGTCCAACAAGGTTTCACCTGTAATTATTGTTCCTTAGCAGTTATAAAAACAGATTTTAATTTAACTAAAGTGAGTCCTGTTATAAACACTGTCACTTACCCCAATTTTCAGGCCCTAAAATTTAAAATTTTAACCCAAAGTTGTAAAGTTTATTTCATCTATAAAATTGTTATACTCTCTGAAACTCTCTATCAGGATTTTAATGACCTTTTTACCGGTTGTGAGCGAGATGATTTGACAGTAAAATTATCATTAAAATAAAAGTGCTAGAGAGTTTGTGTTTAGAAAGATTCCGACTGATATCTGCACTTTGAAGGCGCAGAATGAGTTCTGCGAAGTCAGACAAATTTTGTATACGACAGTTAGTTCATTTGCTATACTTTAAATCAAATTTAGAAACTGTTTGAGGTAAGAAACTATATTTGTGCAATTTGGACCTCATTATTTTAATTCCACAGGCGAGTAGATGGATTAGGGAGTGGAAGATAAGTTCTCTAGACTCCCGTGGTAGGGAGAAGCTGGGAAGTAGTAGATAAATTCTCTAGACTCCCGTGAGAGGGAGAAGCTGGGAAGTAGTAGATAAATTCTCTAGACTCCCGTGGTAGGAAGAAGCTCGGAAGTAGTAGATAAATTCTCTAGACTCCCGTGAGAGGGAGAAGCTGGGAAGTAGTAGATAAATTCTCTAGACTCCCGTGGTAGGAAGAAGCTGGGAAGTAGTAGACAAATTCCATAGACTCCCGTGAGAGGGAGAAGCTGGGAAGTAGTAGATAAATTCTCTAGACTCCCGTGGTAGGAAGAAGCTGGGAAGTAGTAGATAAATTCTCTAGACTCCCGTGGTAGGAAGAAGCTGGGAAGT